GGCTCATGTGCAGGATCTCAGTATCAACTCCTTATCACTTTTGGCTTAAGAGGCCCATTTCCAGGCAGTGTTGGCACTGAAACCCAAGCCCAGAGTTTTCCCAGATATAATGTTTGCCCACACACTTCTGTGATTATTGGGTCTTTCATTACTGAGTGGGAAGTGAAGGAATCTGAGGACATCTCTTACCTTAAAAAGAATGGTATATTTTATCCAGCAAATAGTAGATACTTAATAAATATTTGTTGAATGAATGAAATATAATTAAGAAGATAAATCCTATTCATAGTACTAATGGAGCCTATGATATCCAGATTTAAAATAATTTTAATGTTGAACAGGCAATATATGCATATGTTTCCAAATACAGAAGTTATAACAGGGTTTACCAAAAAGTTTTTATCTTATTCTTGTATTCTAGCCTCACAGCTCCTCTTCCCCTAGGAAACCAACATTATTAGCTTTTTATGTATCTTTCTAGAGATATCTTATGCATTTACTACCAGCAAACATGTATAGACAGCACTCTACATGCAGTGTTCTACACGTTAATCTTTTTTTTCAACAATATATCTCAGAGATTTTTTGTATTGATACATAAAGAAAATAGGGCTTCTTTTGAAGCCAGTCAGAAAGGCCTTTTGAAAATCCCTACCCTGTTACTGTCTATAAATGCATTTTAGAACTCCTGACCTCGAGCAATCCGGCCGCCTTGGCCTCCCAGAGTGCTAGGATTACAGGCGTGAGCCACCGCGCCCGGCCTTATAAATGCATTTTAAATATATCAAACTTAAACGGACACATTCCCACATCCATATAGGCATTCATCCCTAGTGGTTAACTAGGGATGACAGAGTGACTCATCTAAATTCTCAAGGGCACAGTCTGGTTTAGTTGTTACTGCAGTTTCTGGAAGGGAGAAATAAAAGGAAGACACAGCCCATGCTCCAGAGAAGGCAATGAAAAACATTGACTGAGAGACGAAAGAAAGAATGAGGGTATGGAAATAAGAGCTGATTCAGCAGAGCATGTGGATATACTGGCAGGGGTTGTCTTTGTAAGCAGAGCAGTGAACTCTAGACCTTATGTGAAATATTTTAGAGTAAAAGAAAGCTGGCCTTTTCAGGAAAAAGGCGTAGCCCTGAATTTTGTGAAGTCCTTACTACCACTGTGAAAAGCTTATTCTTGCTCTTTCCTGACTCTCTGTGGTTGTTTGACTCATGCCTGATTATCCCAGATTGCCATCACAGCTGTGGGGTAGCTGAGAAAAGGTTTTTCTGGGTTGAAAATTAGGGTTTAGAACAGACAGCTCTTAGTAATATTAGAAGAGTCATGACAGAAATATCAAACACATGTTTGAGGAATAAGTGATATGAATGCTGTGGAAGGAGGCCTGGGAAAACATTCATTTCTTACCTTTCCTAGTAAAAGAAGCATGGGCTTGAATTTCTGGTTCTCTCAGGCAAATTTATTAAGGTCTTTGAGTTTTGATTTCCCCATTTATGAAACGGAGAAAACAATAACTACTATATAGAGAGTTGTTTATAGACAGAAGCCTACAAATTACCTGTATACTGTATTGTATATGCACATTTCTTTTTCTTTTTCTTTTTTTGAGACAGAGTCTCGCTTTGTTGCCCAGGCTAGAGTGAGTGGTGTGGCGTCAGCCTAGCTCACAGCTACCTTAAACTCCTGGGCTCAGGTGATCCTTCTGCCTCAGCCTCCTGAGTAGCTGGGACTATAGGCATGCACCACCATGCCCGGCTAATTTTTTCTATATATATAATAGTTGGCCAATTAATTTCTTTCTATTTATAGTAGAGACGGGGTCTCGCTCCTGACCTCGAGCAATCCGCCCACCTCGGGTCCCAGAGTGCGAGTGCTAGGATTACAGGCGTGAGCCACCGTGCCTGGCCACATACGCACATTTCTAATGGTTCTTTTAAAGACATACCTCAGTATTCTTGGTGCACCACAACCAAGGTAGAGCCTTTATTTCATGAGGGGCAGCTGGGCACAATAAGGAAGCCCTCGTCTCTTGACTGCATTTGCCCAGGGCAGCCTCAGCAAAAGACAGCTGGAGGCAGGATGAGAAATGTTTGTCCTGCTCCTCCCAGGAAGAAAGCCCTCTGGCTAGGAGCTACTAAGAGAGGGAACCCTATGTTTTTCTAGAGAAGTGTCTCCACAGCACTGAGCTGGGAGGGGGAGAGGAGGGAGTGATCTTGGTTCAAATATCACAAACTCTTGCCTTCTTACCAAATTTTTATAGATTTTCTTGAATAGATATTTTTTCATTTGCTGTTTGTCCTTAGTACAATTTCCAGAAGGTTTAAATGTTTGTATTTTTGTTTTGTTAGAGCAGGATATTGCTCTGTTGCCCAAGCTGTAGTGCAGTGGCATGATCAGAGCTTACTCTAACCTCAAACTTTTGGGCTCAAGCAATCCTCCTGCCTCAGCCTCCCAAATAGCTGGGACTTCCGGTTGCTTGCCCCCTTGCCGGGTTATTTTTTTAAAAATTTTTTTTGGGGTTGGGGGGTCTCACTATATTGCCCAGGCTGGTCTCAAACTCCTGGTCTCACGCAATTCTCCTGCCTTGGGCTCCCAAAGTGCTGGGTTTACAGGCATGAGCCACTGTACTCAGCCCAAATGTCAGTATTTTTAAAAATATTTTTCACCAGTTTCACAGAGGAGCAGGTCAGTGTAGCTTCTTACACTGTTATGTTGGAAATCAGTCTCTGCCTTCATTATTATAGCTTTAAGATAACATCTTAATATTTGGAAGAATAAGTCTCTTGTTTTTCTTCAAATTGCCTTAGGTATTCTTGGCTCTTGTTTCTTCCATATGAATTTTAGGACAAGCTTATTAAATTCCATAAAATATCTGCTGGGATTCTTATAAAAATTGTCTGAATTTGTAGTTTGGCTTGAGAAGAAATGATCCTTATAGTATCTATCGAGTCTTCCCATTTAGGAACATGGACTATTTCTCCTTCTATTTATGTCTTTAATAAATGTCTTTTAAAAAATAATAATTTTTATCTATAAAAATTTTACATATCTTTTGTTAGATCGAGTCCTCGCATTTAGTTGCTATTGTAAAATAATATTTTAAAAAATTTTTAGATTTTCTATCTTTTTATACTAATGTTTAGAATGAAATTTTAAAAACTGATGCATTTAGCATCCTTGCTAAATTGCATTATTAGATTTAACAATGTGACTTGTAGAGCCTCTTGGATTTCTATGTAGCTAATTATATTGTTTGAGAATGATGATGGTTTTGCTTCTTTTTATCCATCTCATGCATCTTTTCTTTCTTTCTTTTCTTTTCTTTTCTTTTTTTTTTTTTTTGGTGTAGTCTAGAATTCCAATACAATATTAAAGAGAAATATTATGGTACACATCCTTTTCTTGTTTCTGATTTTTAAAGAAATGCTTCAAATGTTCCATGTTTAATAATAATGTCTGCTATGGGTTTTCAACATACAATTTAATCAGACCATAGAAGTTTCCTTCCATTGCTAGTTTAGGAGCTTTCATCATAAAAAAATTATCTAATATTTACTGAGTACATACTAGGTGTCTGACATTGTTCTAAGCACTTTACATGGATTAACTCACATTCTCATAACAAATATCTGAGGGTATTATTCCTATTTTATCATGAGTAAACTGGGATACAATGCATTAAATAATTTGCCCAAGGCTAGTAGTAGAACTAGAATTCTAGAACCAAGTCTGGCTTAAGAGCACAAAATCTTAAACATTTATCTATACTGCTTCTTAAAATGAATGTTGAACATTCTCAAATGCTTTCTCTGCATTTGATTCAATCATATGGTTTTTCACCTAATTTGCTAATGTGAAAAATTACATTAACAAATTTTTTAATGGTAAATCATCCTTGAATTCTTAGGGTAAACCCAACTTGGTCATGACATATGTTTCTTTTAAAAATATTGACAGATTTTATTTGCTTATATTTTATTCAGGATTTTTGCATCTATGTTCAAAAGTGAAATTGACTCACAATTTCCTTTTTCCTGCTGGTTTTGGTACCCAGGTCATACTAGCTAAACTCATAAGTGATTTGGGGCAGGCATTTGGTGACAGATATTTCAATCTTCACTATTAGGCTAATATATATAGATAGCATAATATCTAATCCAGTAGTTTAGACTCCTAGATAACCGAGCAAGGTTCCTGATATCTAAGAAAATGCTAAGCAGTGGAGAAAGTGTCCAGGGACATCTGAGCCACTTGTTACTCAATGGCAGTCTAGGACTGCCAAACTGGCAAAACAGCCAAATGTATTCCCTCCCAAAATGTCTGAATGTGGTTGATCCATAATCTGGTTTAAATATTGATGGGTGTATTTTATTCAACCATATTCACACCTAAACAGAATATTTTAATTTTATTTACTAGTAAAGTTTATAAAATACTTTAATATCTTTTCTCTCATTGAATTTACCAAGTAGCTTTCTAAGAGCCATATTATTATTTCCATTTTGGGAATTATTTTTTCCTCATCTTACAGATTACTTAAGTAAAGATTACTTAACTAAGCTAATAAGTTAGCAGGGGAAATGAGTTTAAAAATCAAGTTTATTTCCTTTACTTCAATTATGTCAAGAAAGTATTTTTTATAGGAGAGACGTTAGATTCCATAGTGACAATGATTAGCCTCTCACTTGTCACTGACAGTACCAAGAATGAAATAATGAATTTTCAAAGGCGGGTTGGAGGAGGTTACATTTCTGTTGATAGAATAGAAATATTTAATTTACTATGAATGTGACTCTAAGAATTTTAATATATCTCTAACTTTCTAGGTTATTAATCTTATTTTGTAAACCAAAATATTTATGCAAATGTTATTGTGTCTCTGCTAGCTGCCAGGTACTTTTCTAAGCACCATATAGGGATGAACAAAGTTGAGATAAGCTAACAGACAAAAATGTTCAAACATTATATTTAATAATTTAGAAACATCTTACCATAATGTAGAGCTGTTTGACCTTCATTGTCCTATAAAAGAAAATAAAACAATCATTTTAGAAGTCTAAGTAATTGCAAAAGTATGAAAGTACATAAACAATAACAAATATATCTGACATACCAAAGGGCCATAGGTTTATCAGACACAGGAAAAGAAGAAATTAGTTCTTTGAGCCTCACAGTAACTTTTGACCAACCATCTTGAAGAATGGAAGAATGATAACTTGTATGTTGTAGCAGCTGCAGTAGAGGATAACCAGATATCTACAGATAATAAACCAAAGGGAATCCCTTAAAATGTGGCAGTTTGGTTACCCAATTAATAGCAGAAAAGTTGACACTGTGTATCATTTGTTTTGGTTAATATTGGAATGGTTTTTTCCTAAGCTTGTCCCCAAATCTATCTGGCAAGTCTGTAATTCATAGAAAGAGTGGGTAGCTTTTTAATCTCCTTTCAAAAACTCACAAATTCCAGGCTAATAATATTAGGTTTCCTAACCAGATCAAATGGCATAAAGAAATGTGATTTCCAGAAGTTGCTAAGAAAGCCAAGGCTTCCCATAGATTATTCAGGAAACTCCAACATTTCAGTTAATTTTTTCTTTTAAAACCCAAGATATTGTAACTATATATACTAATTATAGTAGAGTACTTTTTTTTTTTTTTTTTAGCAATGTTACCTCTTAAATTGGGAGCAGCTGATCATGTTATGTGGGTAACAAATCAGAAAAAGGACACAGGTGAAAAGTAGAACTTAGTAATTAATTTGATAAGCACTTTGCACTATGCATGACCATTATTATGCACCTGGTAATTAAGAATAAATGCCAAACTATGATTATGAATAACTTGAAGAGGGTAATATTATGATAAACCTAACTATTCTTGGGTACCCCAAATCTGCCTTTCCTACTTCCTGAAAGTTGAATTTAGGGGTGGGAGTTGGCTCCAGAACTTTTTGGTCATGGGTCTTCCTATTTAATCACCTAGGAAGAAAAGCAAGAAGCTGCCACAGGGAACTTATTTTCTGATTCAGACAGGTAGTAAGAAAAATCCATGGCAGGGAGATGACCTTGAAGCAATGTAGCTTGTTTTCCTACTAGGGTATGAAAGTTCTGATTGGACTTGGAGGTGAGGTGTGTCTGGATGGGTGAGAAGAGATAAGAAAGAAGTAAATTTGGAGGTGGTGCTAGATTTGGCTGAGGTGCAACAGTATGTCCAATAAGCATCACAAGGCTAATAAACTCTAAGGAAAGTAAAAGCACCAAAAAGTCAAGAAGCACAAGAGATCATTTTTGCCCACATCTTTCTTGTCTTTTTAGATACAGCCCCTACCTTGCTACTCTTTGACTTATCCTTCCCTTGAAATCAAGGACAGTTAGGGGAAGAGAGCTGAGGCAGCTATAGTGAACAAGATCTGAGTGATTCTCATGCAGAGCAGCATGACAATGTGAAGTTGTGCTCCAGAGTATTTTGTCTTGCTTGGCTATAGTTAAGGACAAGTTAGAACAGTACTAACCATTATGGCTTAAGACTTACATCTCCTTTGCCAGCTTCCAATGTTAATAGGTATGTATGTGTATATACATACAACATGCACACACTGGATACATTTATATAGTCATATTTATAGTTTAAATGTGAATGTCCAGCAATAAAAATCAACTTCAGCAAAAGCACTTAATCTACTGCAATTTCAGGACTATACTTATGCATCCATCATGCAAGGTTACATTTTCCACAATTATCCATCTTTAGGAAGTATAATTATCTTGGTATTTGTACATAACTTTCATGTTTAATCACTGTGTTCATATATACTCAAAGTTCAGTTCCTTTTGATTTCTAATTCTTTATCTTCACTAGGGAGGCAGAAGAAAGAATTAATTACTTTTAATCACTTTTACCAATGAATACTAAATCTGTATCTCCAGCCCAATTTCTGATTAATTAATTAAAAGTAGTTACTGAGTTCCTATTATGTCCTAGTCACTCTTCTAGGCACTAGAAACACAGAGATGAATAAAACAGAGCAAGTCCCTGGTGTTATAAATCTTATATTCTAGTGGTTGGGGAAGCAATAAGCAAATAAATATATTTAATAATAGACAGTAATGAGTATTTTGGAAAAAAATTAAGCAGAGTAAGAGACTAGAGTGATGGGGATGCTATTTCAGAAAGACAGGACAGGAAAGGACTCTATGAGAAGGTATGTTTACACAGAAAATTGCGGAAGACACTAAGATGGCCAGGTAACCCCACTGAACAAATCATACACACATCATCTTCCTTGTCTGAAAGTAAGCATGTTACTCAAGCCATGCCAACTAAAGATTTCTCTCAGAATTTTTCAAAATGGAGCTAAGGGATAGAAGTGTGTGCACAAAAAAGGTTCTTTCCTCTCTGATCAAAAGTAAGGGTGTAGTGAAATAAGCTAGACACACAAAAGGACAAGTACTGTATGATTCCACTTGTATGAGATAACAAGAGTAGTCAAATCCACAGAGATAGAAAGTAGAACAGTGGGTACCAGGGGCTGGGGGAGGGAAGTATGGGGAGTTAGTATTTAATGGGCACAAAGTTTCAGTTTGGGATGGTGAAAAACTTCTGGAGATGGATGGTAAGGATAATTGCTCAGCAATGTAAATATATTTAATGCCACTGAACTGTACATTTAAAAATGGTTAAAATGGCAACTTTCATGTATATTTTACCAAAATATAAAAGAGAGAAAAAAAAAGGGTATGAGCCAAAAATGGCAAATGGCAATGTTCTCCACTTCCTGAAGAAAATCGGTCTGCAATAGAGAGAATAAAGTATTCAAAAAGAAAAAAGTAGTGGTCAGAGATGGGGAGAGAATTAGGGTCTCAGATTTTTGTCATTTCAACTATATATCTGCCTTTCTTTGTTAGGCAAGCCAACAAAAAAAAAAAATATTCCCTAGACAAACATGATCTTTTTGTCACTTCCAAACAAGAGTCCTAATAAAGAATGTGAGACACTTTATGAACCAAGCCTTGGTCATATCTTTCCCAATTCCTTCCCCTCCCAATTTTGTGACTGCCAGTTCCCAATAAGAATGCCTATCTGGATTCCCACAGCTGTCAGTGCTCTTTACTCCACTGGAAAACTATCCCCCAACATTTTAAAGGTAATGCCTTGCTCTTTTCTCATGTTTTAATATTCCTCTTTGATATATGTGAACATTTTAAATAGACTTATTTTATAGTCCCTATATTTCTTTTGAGTTTAGGAAGGGGATGTTTGTTGCGCTGGCTGACATTTACTTACTATAGATTGCTTCCTGCGTACTTTTCAAGTTTGGACTATCCGTTCATTTTATTTTATTTATTTAATTTTTAAAATATTTTTATAAAAATTATTTTAACATTTAAATTTTTTTTTTTTTTTTAGTGGTGACCATGATATGATCCAGGAACAGTTCATTTTAAATTGGGTTTTATCTGTGAAAAATTCTGTGCTGTGCTCTCTGGATTGAGGGTCTGTCCCTCCACAATGGTTTTGCTTTTGTTTCTGCCAAGCACCCCAGAGATATTATCAGCTTGGGATCCCCTAAAATGAATGCATTTAAAATACCAAAGAATAAAATAAATTTCAATGAAATAATCCTTCCAGATTGACTGGCACAATTAGAACATTAGTAAGCCATAAGGGCTAAACTGACGGCTACTATACTCATGATTCAGTTCTAACTTCCCCTGCCTGACTGGTGCCACTACTGCACCAGGCTGGTTGGAGAGAGTTTATAGGGGTTGAGTAGGCCAGTCTGTTATCAGCTTTTGACAACAGTGGACTGTATTTCTGTTTAAAGTGGAATTTTTGAGTAGCTACACAGCTCAACAGTATTTTTTAATTCTGTCTGCCTAACAGCCTATCATGTCAAAGAAGACCAAGAGAAGGCTGAAGAAAGAAAACAAATATTTTAATGAGGATTGGGAATTGCAATATTGTCTTATTTCTACTAAAGATAAGATGATCTGCTTGCTTTGTGATACTGCAATATCAACATTAAAGAAATTCAATGCTTGTCAGCATTATAAGACAGGACCACAAATATTTTAAATAAGAGGGGGAGGTGTGAAAGGTGGTATTGCAGAAATTAAAAGATGAAAAGCAAAAGCAAAGACAACTCTTTCAAACAGCAATAAGACCTGGAAATAATGCCACTGAAGCAACATATAAAGTAGCTTATATATTTGAGATAAAAGGAAAGCAATTCAATGATGGAGAAATTGTTAAAGAATGCATTGTCTAAGTTGTAGGATCTAAGGACTCTGATAATGTTTCAAAGTATAAACAACTGCCTTTTTCAAGGACAACCATAACTGATGGCAGCATGAATTAGACTTCAACTTAACAGAACAACTTCATGCAATACTTCAAAAGGAAAACTATATTTTATTCAGTTGTTTTGGATGAATCAACTGATACTACTGATTTGGTGCAGGTTTTATAATTCATTTGGGTCATAACAGAAGATTTTCTTTGCTGTGAAGATTTACTTGCTTTGGGCACTCTTGCAAACAGTACATGGGGAACACATATCTTCAACAGCTTTTAAGATAAATGTTTTGAAGTTGGACTGAATTTGGTAAATTTAGTGAGTGTATGTATAGACAGTGCACCTTCCATGACAGGAAAACATGAAGGGTTTATTGCTGTCTTCTCTTTGGGAGAGAGATATAGCTCAGGTATGAGATCTATCTTAGTGGATGTATGGTTGGCTTTGGCCTAGAAGCCCTGCTGCTTTACTAGTGCTATTATTTCTTGTAACTGTAGCTTCTAGGGTCACACAAGGGATATATGAATTACATGTAACTCAGGACGTTCCCAAGTGCAGTGTCCCCATCAGGTATTTATCATTTTTCTGCAGTTCCTTCCAGTCCAGATTAATTTACCAATCAAGTGGTCATTTTTTATCATAAATAATGTTACTTAGTAATATAATTAACATCCTTAACTTCAAGATGTTACCAGGGAACTTAGACATTTTTACCTAAGGTCAGATT